TGTAAAATGGTTGCAAGTTTCTACACTTAAAAAAAAAAGAACTTAGAACCCGGCCAGTGTGGCTCAGAGGTTGAGCATCAACCTATGAACCAGGGGGTCACGGTACCATTCCCGGTCAGGGCACATGCCCGGGTAGTGGGCTCCATCCCCAGTAGGGGGCGTGCAGGAGGCAGCTGAACAATGATTTTCTCTCACCGTTGATATTTCTATCCTCCCTCTCTGAAATCAATATATATAATCTTAAACAATTTCACAAAGCTGGCCTAAGACTGCTCCTAGTAAGAAGGGCCTTCTCGGCCCAGCCCTCTTCTCCCCAGCCCACTGAGGGTGGCGAGTCCCAGGAGGAAGTTTTCTCTAGCTCCCCAGATCCATCCCCAGGCAGAGCCCTGATCCCTTCAGAGCAGCCTGCATCTCTCCCAGAAGTTGTCCTCCGAACCCGAACCTCAAGTGAAGGGTCTAAACAACTAAAGAAGAGAGCCCCTGTCCAGAGGACCTCAGCACCCCCTAATAGGCCTCCTCCACCCAGAGCCACTCCCAGCTCCAGAACCCCCTCAGGGAACATACCCTCCAGTCCTGCAGCCTCTGAACCGGGTTCACCCACCAGCCCCAGGGCCTCTTTGGGGGCTGGGCCTCCAAGTCCTAGTTCTAGGGCCACTTTCGAGATTCCTCTTGATCCACAGCCACCACAGAAGCCAGGAAGAACTTCTGAGGACAGAGAAAAGGAAAACACCGACAATCTGAACCCAGATCTTTGTACTTCCCCCACCTCGGTGATCCCTCAGGTTTTTTCAGAATCTGACAAGGCAAGTAAGATGGAAGACGAAGAAGAGAACAAGCTCATCTTGGCTGACTCCCCTGAGAGCCAAGGTCTCCAGCGTCGTGCCTCCGTGGTTCCAGAAGACAGCAATGTCGCAGCACCTGAGCTTCAAGAAGAGGTATCTACAACTCAAAGTGCACAACTCTGAAGAGTAACTGCCAAGACCTCCCGCATATGTACATCTCCCAGAGAGATTCTTCAGCTAGAGGGTATAGAAGCACAGAGACTGAAGGTCTAACATTCATTTCTAGGTTCTCAAAGTGGATGCTGGTTGTCTCTAAAGACCTGGCTTTAATGGAGGCTGAGGAGCAGACTTAGGGGAAGGAGGGAGGCAGACAGGCTTGGAAGAAGAGATTGTTAGACTCAGGGAATATTTAATTCAGACTTTAGCATTGTTATTTAATAAGACTTTTTATATTAAATAAAGTGCTGGCGATCGGAGCCTGCCAGCCGGGTAAAGAGACCAAGAGGTGGTCGGTGCATCTCATAGGGACTGGTTGAGCGGTCATTCTGGCTATTCTGCCGTTATGGTCGCTGGGCTTTTATTATATAGGATAGTTATATAAATGCATTATATCTGTACCAGACTATCTTATCTAACGTTATTTGTAATATAATAAATTACAAACCATCCAAATACCCTGTGAAATAAATTATAGCAAAAACACAAAGAAAGGGGTGGGGGAGATGTCAATTGGGGAAAAGGAGACATGTAAAACTTTAGACAATAAATAAATTTTTTTTAAGGAAAGAAAAAAAAAAAAAAAAAAAAAAAAAGAAAGGCCTTCTCGCATCACTGGCTCTTGACCGAACCAGCCTTGGTGTTTCCAGGGAACCAGTGTTGGTGTTTTGTAAGGTCTGGTCTGAGGCATGGCTGACGTGACTCTGTCCAGCCCTGCTCTGCCCCTGACCCTAACCGCCTGGGTCTGGGTAGCTGCCTCCATCGGCAGACAACATCAGCTTTCGTCTTGGCCGAAACACAAGGAATCGGGTCCAGGCATTTCAGGGGAACCTTAAAAGAATAATAATGAAGGCTCCATTGAGATAGTAGCTCTTAGGGAGGCAGAGAAAGGGGTAAAATTTTCCTGAAAGGGTAGCTCTCACTCTTTCATGTAGAACTGAACTGCCGCTCACCCCTTAATATACTTGTATTTTCATTTGACCAGCAAGGCCTTTTGGGTCCCTTAATTTTTTAAAAAGTATATTTTATTGATTTTTTACAGAGAGGAAGAGAGAGGGATAGAGAGTTAGAAACATCGATGAGAGAGAAACATCGATCAGCTGCCTCCTGCACATCTCCCACTGGGGATGTGCCCGCAACCAAGGTACATGCCCTTGACTGGAATCAAACCTGGGACCCTTGAGTCCGCAGGCCGACGCTCTATCCACTGAGCCAAACCGGCTAGGGCTGGGTCCCTTGATTTCTAATCATTCAGTCTGAGTTGACTTGCCCTTGAGCGGGGATGACAGGGGGAAGGAGAACAACTGGGGGAAAAATCTCCGTTTCCAGGACATTGAACTGTTGTAGTTGGTGCTTCTGTCCACACGATGGCGCTGCTGCATCAGGAAACAGCCTCTGAGCACCGGGAATGGTGGTTTTCACCAATAATGTCATTTTTTCTTTTTTCCTTCCTTCCTCCCTCCCTCCCTCCTTTCTTCCTTTCCTCTTTGATCCTAGGATTTCATAGGGTTTTTCATTAGATCACCCTAGAGGGGACAGGGATCGCCTCTACATGTGGAAATCTCAGAATAGGACAAGCTCCTCTGGTTTTTGGCGGGCATTTATTTACAGGTCAGGCATAAAAACACGTCCACTGAAAAAAAGTTCAGCCCTAGCTCGTGTGGCTCAATGAATAGAGCGTCGGCCTGCGGACTGAAGGGTCCCGCGTTCGATTCTGGTCAAGGGCATGTACCTTGGTTGGGGGCACAGCCCCAGTGCGGGGTGTGCAGGAGGCGTCTGGTCGATGTTTCTAACTATCTCTCTCCCTCTCTGTAAAAAATCAATAAAATATATATTTTTTTTTAAAAGAAAAAGTTTAGCCCTACCTGGTCTGGCCCAGTGGATAGAGCGTCAGCCTGGGGACTGAAAGTTCCACGGTTCGATTCCAGTCAAGGGCACATGCCCAGGTTGCGGGCTCAGTCCCCAGTGGGGGACGTGCCAATCAATGATTCTCTCTCATCATTAATGTTTCTATCTTTCCCTCTCTGAAGTCAATATAATATATATATTTTTAAAATGCCTCCATTCCACGTCTACTAGTATTGATTGAGTTACTCGCTCTGTACCAGGAGCCATTGTAAACAGAAGTAAGACGAACAGAAGTATTCCCACAGAGCACACATTTTTAGGGGAGTTAGATGATACACAAGCAAATAAACACAGATTGTTATTTCAGACATCATCGAACACAGCGCCCCATGGGCATGCTTTGTCTTTGTGGTTTAGGTACAGAAACCCCAACCTGGATATGAAAGAAAAATATGGACTAACCTCCAAGCCAAGCATGTTAATAGTTTTAAATGCATTTTTTAAATTTTTATTTTATTTTTTTAAATAAGATGTTTATATATGTTTTTAATATTTTTACTGATTTTTTACAGAGAGGAAGGGAGAGGGATAGAGTCAGAAACATCGATGAGAGGGAAATATCGATCAGCTGCCTCCTGCACACCCCCTACTGGGGATGTGCTCGCAACCAAGGCACATGCCCTTGACCGGAATCGAACCCGGGACCCTTCAGTCTCGCAGGCGGTCGCTCTATCCATTGAGCCACACCGGTTAGCGCTGCACTTATTAAAATTGATTTCAGAAAGGAAGGGAGAGAGAGAGAGAATCATCAATGACAAGAGAGAATCATTGATCCGCTGCCCCCTGCACGCCCCGCACTGGGGATCAAGCCATCAGAGTCCCCGCGTTGCCCAGCGGCCCTGTTCCCCATTCTGTCGACAGCCACACCCCGATGGAGGCCCACCTGAGCCCTCCTCCCCAACCTGCCCGGAGCCCCGCCTTGTGTCCATTCTCCTGGCCGCCCAGCCTAGCAACCCCTCCAACCAGGCACCGACCCCCAGGATCCCAGGGGCGCGGCTCTGTCACTCGGGGTGCCCTATGGTTCCGGTCTGGCCCGGCCCAGCCGGTCCTGAGGGGGAGGGTCCCCGAAGGAGGTCACGCCAACCCGGGTTGAACCTCCCCGTCTGTCTGCATTCTGCCGGTGGCCTTTGCCCCCTCGGCGGGACTACATTTCCCAGACGGCGCGGCGGAGGAGGACACGCCCACTTCCGGCGTCGTCGCGCTGTTGGCTCTTGCGCGCCGTGCGTGGTGGTGGGCTGGGCGGGGGCAGAGGCGGGGGCGGCGCCGCTGA